AAGAAAGTAGGCCGGGCGCAGTGGCTCACACCTGTAATCCCAGCACTTTGGGAGGCCGAGGCGGGTAGATCACGAGGTCAGGAGTTCGAGACCAGCCTGGCCAACATGGTGAAACCCCGTCTCTACTAAAAGTACTAAAATTAGCCAGGCATGGTGGTGGGCGCCTGTAATCCCAGCTACTCGGGAGGCTGACGCAGGAGAATTGCTTGAACCCAGGAGGCGGAGGTCGCATTGAGCCAAGATTGCACTACTGCACTCCAGCCTGGGCAACAAGAGCAAAACTCTACCTCAAAAAAGAAAAAAAAACGTAAAATGAAACCAGTGAAAATAATTTCAATGAGATGTTTTATTTAACCTAATCCAAATTACTGTTTCAATACACAAATATAAAAATTATTAATGAGGTATTTTATTTCATGTTTTTAGTTTCATACTAAGTTACTAAAATCTGTTGTGTATCTTACATCTCAATTCAGACTGACTGTGTTTATTTGTTTATTTATTTATTTTGAGTCAAGGTCTCACTTTGCCACCCAGGCTGGAGTGCAGTGGCACGATCATGGCTTACTGCAGCCTTGACTCCAAGTAGCTGGGTCTACAGGCACATGCCACCACACCCGGCTAATTTTTTGTATTTTTTGTATTTGAGATGGGGTTTTAGTAGGTTGCCCAGGCTAGTCTTGAACTCCTGAGCTCAAGTGATCTGCCTGCTTCAGCCTCCCAAAGTGCTGGAATTACAGGCATGAGCCACTGTGCCCAGCCTGGCTGCATTTCAAGTTCTCAGTAGCCACATGTGGCCACTGGCTACTGTGTGGAGCAACACAGCTCTAGAGATAAATACTAATAATTGGTGAGTTGCATTAGAATAGGCCAGACAGGGTGGAAATCTTAAATTATTTTGAGGAAAGTGAGAACAAGACTAGACAGTTTTTAAGAGGTGCATTTTCCTACATGAGGAAACTATAATTATCTTCTAAGCAATGAATCAACATAAAAAAATGTTAGCCATTAGCAAGTGCGGTCTCATATTACATGCTATTATATGACCTGACTTTAAATGTTTCACTTCTGTCATTGGTAATTTTGGAAGGTCTTTAGTTTGGGGTGGTAAGCTTGGCTAAATACTATGGACACCAAACTTCTGAAATGGTCTATTTTAGAAAGTGCCTGGTTGGCAGCCAGGCCTGTACGTGGACTGGCATTGGAACGTTTGAAGCTGTCCCCGCAGCGGTGCCCAATCTATGCTGCTATTTAAGATCTATCCATGAAGGGGTCCCTATTGATCTGCGTTTTACATCCCACTCTTTCCCACCTTTGAAAGTATTTCTAAAGACATTGTCATTTCTAGCAGCCCAACCTAGGGTCCTCTAAAAGCAGCTTTTATTCCTCTTTAATCCTTCTGTCCCAATATTGGGTATCTAATTTAAAGTGAAAGTAAGTAGAGAAAAGAAACGATAATAAGAAAATAATGTGTCTCTCTGTTGTGTCCATTTTTCACTAGTCCTGATCATGAATATAGTGCCAAGAGTTTTGTAACTGTGTGAAAGACAGTTTTCTATTCTGGAGAGATTGATTCATCTCCGGTTAGAAAATCAGAATTTACCCTGGAGAGAGTATCTACAGATCTATGGGGGGTAGACCTTTCCAGATGCCTTGGCCTTTCAGCTTTTTTGACACCAGGGACTGGTTTCATGGAAGACAGTTTTTCGAGGGATGAAGGGTGGGTTGAGTTGGTGGGGGTAGGGGAGTGGGGATGCTTTCAGGATGAAATGGTTCCACCTCAGATCATCAGGAATTAGATTCTCATAAGGAGCGTGCAACCTAGATCCCTGGCATGCATAGGTCACAATAGGGCTCACACTCCTATGAGAATCTAATGCTTCTGCTGATCTGACAGGAGCTCAGGCAGCAATGCTCATTCACCCACTGCTCACCTCCTGCTGTGCTGCTTGGTTTCTGACAGGCCATGGACAGGTACCGCACCCCTGTTATAGAGTATATCCAACTTGGCCGGGCGTGGTGGCTCACACCTGTAATCCAGCACTTTGGGAGGCCAAGGCAGGTGGATCATCTGCAGTCAGGAGTTTGAGACCAGCCCAGCCAACATGGTGAAACCCTGTCTCTTCTAAAAATATAAAAATTAGCTGGGCGTGGTGGTACATGCCTGTAATCCCAGCTACTAGGGAGACTGAGGCAGGAGAATTGCTTGAACCTGGGAGGCAGAGGTTGCAGTGAGCTGAGATCATGCCATTGCACTCCAGCCTGGGTGACAAGCACAAAACTCCATCTCAAAAAAAAAAGAATATATCCAACTTATGTTTAGTCCCAAAATCATAGCCTCATTGGACCCTTGGTATCCCAAAGTATCCTCAGATACTTCCCAAGTGAGTGCCCATTTCCTACAATGAGATCAGCCTGATGGTCCTGGTTATAGTGGATGTGAATAGAAATAAAACATTGTTATGTCTGCCTCTACTTTGGACTGCCCATGACTTTCTCAATACCAGTCCCAAACGTGAGCAAGTGTCCTTTGCTGCAAGCATGCCTAAATGCATGGCTGCTGCTTGGATTTTTGCCACACTCAAGTTGGATCAGGCTTTCTAGGTCAAGTGCATTTTAACTACTATAACCAATTCATGTTTTATAGGCCATAAAGTTGTTATAGACCAAGCAGAAAGAATATTGCAAAAGCATTAAAAATTTGTGGCAAACTCTAGCATGTGGTAGTGGTTTCGCAGATAAACTGCTCATTTCCTACATGTCTTACCACTCCTTCTTGACTCAGAATTAGTTCCTTCATTTTTTATTCATAACTTTAATATTTGCATGGTAAGTTTGTAGTAATACTTGTCGTGAATATAAACTATCTAGAAACAGTACATTGAAGGAGAGACTTGATGGATACTTTATATTCTAAAAATACTAGTACCAACTGTTTAGTGATCTTTATTATAGAATCAAACCAAATTTCCATTACTATTGAAAAATGATCATTACTATGTATTCTTTTTACTGTGTTTGTCACATTGTAACCTTCCAAACATAAGTTTCCCTCTTCCATTTTTCTAGTAAAACCTATAAGCATGTTTTTGTGGTAAGGTAACCTAGCAAAATGAAGCAAATTTCTTCATTAATCACATTCTATATCACAAGACATTTTGTTTCTATAAACAAAATTTGTCTATGAAATAATGAGACGTGGAATCTCATTATTTGAGGGAGAAATGTTGACCCTACCTTAGAAATGAAGAAGATTGGAATTTTGAGTGTTTTACCCAAATAGCTTCTGAATGTTTAATTTTCACGTGGGTCCTTTTGGGGCCTAACATCATATTTAAATGCTGTAGGTGTTAAGTGACTGGTTTTTTTTTTGTTTGTTTTTTTTTTTTGAGACGGAGTCTTGCTCTGTTGCCCAGGCTGGAGTGCAGTGGTGCGATCTCGGCTCACTGCAAGCTCCGCCTCCTGGGTTCTCACCATTCTCCTGCCTCAGCCTCCCTAGTGGCTGGGACTACAGGCGCCTGCCACCAGGCCTAGCTAATTTTTTTTGTCTTTTTTTTAGTAGAGACGGGGTTTCACCATTACGTGACCTTTTGACTTTGCAGACAGTTTTTCTTTTTGCCCTTTTCTAAACAAGACGGCACCATTTTCTCATAACTGTTCTCATAATTTAGTTCCTAGATTCGTCATATAATTACATGATTTTATAACTGTACTTTTGGAGTGTTGTAGTTAATCAAACATACTCTTTAGTAGTATCATAACTCCATATGTGCCACAAATAGAATGCCAGTTTTTAAGAAGTGATCTGGAGAAGTGCTGTGGTAAGAGGATAAGTTTTCAGTGGGGTGTGAGTCTTAATACAGTCATGCATCACTTCAGCATGGGGGTACATTCTGAGACGCGTTGTCGGGCAACTTCATCATTGTATGAACATCACAGAGCATACTCTCACAAACCTATATGGCATAGCCCTTGACACATCTAGGATGGATGGTATGGCAGATTGCTCTGACCACTGCCATATATGCGGTTTGTTGTTTTGTTTTAAGACAGAGTCTCGCTCTGTCGCCCAGGCTAGAGTTCAGTGGCAGGATCTCGGCTCACTGCAACATCTGCCTCCGGGGTTCAAGCAATTCTCGTGCCTCAGCTTCCCGATTAGCTAATTTTTGTATTTTTTAGTAGCGACAGGGTTTTGGCATGTTGGCCAGGCTGGTCTCAAACTCCCGGCCTCAAGTGATTCCCCCCCTCCCAGCCTCCCAAAGTGCTGGGATTTACAGGCGTGAGCCACCGCGCCCAGCCTGCAGTTCATTGTTGACCAAAACATCATTATGCTGTGTATGACTGTATCTTTTTCTTGCCTAGTACTAGAAAATTATTGTCTATGTGACACTTCCTTTAATGCTGTATGCAAGTAAAATGTAAAGTTGCCAGCATTATTTAAATCAACTAGTGGTGGCTCCAGGATGCTAGCCTAAAATTTTGTGGAATTATGGTGAAATACTTAAAATCTAGAACAAGGTTTTTCAAAATTCCATAGGAGTCACGTCGGGTCCCTTTTAAGTTCATAAGAACCACTTGTGGTGCTTGTTAAAGTGATCGATTCCTGGTGCCCTGACCACTGAGTCTTTAATTTAGTGAATCTAGACTAATTTGCATAAGAGTCATTCCAGGTGGTCATACTTTTGAGACAACAGGTCTAGTGTTTCTCAAACTTTAATGCTTATAAGTCATTCTGGGATCTTATTAAAGTGCAGATTCAAGTTCAGCAGGTCGAGGTCAGAGCCCGAGACTCTGCATTTCTAACAGGCACCCAGATGATGCTTTAGGAACACTGATTTTGCATCTTGCTCCACCAACAGGTACCTTTGCATTCCCTTCTATAACTGGACACCTTGTTATTGACTGTATTTATTTGAGCTAGGTTTTTACTTCCTTTCAACCCTCTGCTTGATAGAATTGCTTATCTTGTCCTTTTTATTTATTTTCTTTAATGCATATAGATGGGCACCAGTTGCGTCTTGAAGTGCCATCAGCTGTAACCAAAGTTCCAGATCCCAAGACCACAACCAGGCGTTCCTGCCCTCAAGAACTGAAGACGATGGAGCTCTCTGATAGTGACCGACCCGTCAGCTTCGGTTCCACGTCGTCCTCGGCCTCTTCTCGCGACAGCCATGGTTCCTTCGGCAGCAGAATGACCTTAGTTTCAAATAGCCACTTGGGCTTGTTTAACCAGGATAAGGAGGTAGGGGCCATAAAACTGGAGCTGGTTCCGGCCAGGCCGTTTTCCAGCAGTGAGCTGCAGAGGGACCACCCCGCCGCCGGGCAACAGAACGCAGACGAAGGCAGCGAAAGGCCGCCCAGGGCGCAGTGGAGAGTGGACTCGAACGGGACACCCAAGATGACCACAGACTCGGCCACCAGCCCCAAGCTCCTCTATGTGGATAGAGTTGTTCAGGAAATTCTGGAGACCGAAAGGACTTATGTGCAAGATTTAAAAAGCATCGTAGAGGTAAGGCCGACTTCCCTTTTAATGTTCGACATGCAGGAGAAATATGCTTGCAAAAGAGACGGCAAAGCCAAGCCAGGTGTAGGGGATGTCTTCTAAGAGGCGGAAGGGATGTGAATGTTTAAAGAGAGAGTAACTTTTAAGAGAAACCCTAAGGCCATAACTCACTATGTTAACATCCTCTTAATATTTGCATTAACAAATTAGTTATGAGTGAGGAGCAAGAATGATAATACAGTGCCCATAGCAGGATGCCGTTAATGAATCCTACCCAAGATGATGATACAGTGTCCATAGCAGGATGCTGTGTTAATGAATCCTACCCAAGATGTCAGAGTGACTCACACACAGTGGGGCAGGTGAAGATGGAGGAGGACTCAGGTCTCCTGCAGCATAAGTGGCAGGTGTATGACTGAACCTCTCAGCTGTCCTTACCTTAATCACCACTCTCTACTGGTGTCTGGGAGCTTCCAAAACTACTGAGACGTGAATCTCACACTCAGCAACTGTGATTTCATTGGCCTGGGTGGGGCTTGGGTGGTGGAATTGTGGAAGATGCACAGGTGATTTTAATGTGCAGACAGGTTTGCAGCCGCTGCTCTGTGCTACTCCTGTATTGGTTGGTGTTTGGGGAAAGGGTTGAAAGGTAGAGAAAAGTCATGGGCTTTGTCTTGTCTCAAGTGTCTCCTTTCTGTTCACTGTTTACAGTGAGTAATCCTATATAAATTATTTTGCATATATTATTATTATAATTATAAATTACTTGCACAAATTATTTCATGGGAATTGAGCTCAGCTTATGTGCCAGGTCACATCCTCTGGAAATTCAATTATTTGATTTTTATTTTCTGGGTTGTTTTAAAGGATAAAGCACGAATTATCAGAGAAGCTCAGATGTTAACTCACTCCCAATTATATTTAAAAATATTACTATCTCAAGGGCAGGTTTTTGTTTTGTTTTGTTTTGTTTTGTTTTGTTTTTTGAGATAGAGTTTCACTCTTGTTTCCCAGGCTGAAGTGCAATGGCATGATCTCGGCTCGCTGCAACCTCCACCTCCCGGGTTCAAGCGATTCTCCTGCCTCAGCCTCCTGAGTAGCTGAGATTACAGGCATGCACCACCATGCCCAGCTAATTTTGTATTTTTAGTAGAGATGGGGTTTCACCATGTTGGTCAGGCTGGTCTTGAACTCCCGACCTCAGGTGATCCGCCCGCCTCAGCCTCCCAAAGTGCTGGGATTACAGGCGTGAGCCACTGTGCCCAGCCTCAAGGGCAGATTTGTATGTTATAAAGCTACACTTGCTTTGCAGCCTACTAATACAGCAGGTTCTTTCATTTGTTAATACCTGTTTCCTGTTTTAGACATTGACTCTAGAGTATGTTTCACAGTACAGTAGAATATTGCCAGTGAGCATGTTCTTCCCCCAAATACATTCTCATAGCTTTAGAAAAAGAATTCTAAAGCATGACTATGTGTGATCCACAAATGATACTACCAGACTCTGTCTACTAAAAATAGTTATGACGTACCTTCCCACTAAAAATAGAAAAGTCAATTGATGGTCAACTGAAACAATATGTGGTACCAAATGTAGAATAAAGTAGGCCTGTTTTTAAAAATTTTCAACAATGATGTCATTTGTACTTGAGAAGAAATACCTGTAAAACAGCCAAAAATTTTATAGCCTCTCAGGAAACATATGGTTATTCAAGCTTTCTTTGGTCTATGCTTTTTTTTCCTTTCCTTCTTGGAAACTTTTCTACCTAATCAAAACTCACCTTATGGAGAGAAACCTTTAATTACTGAACTGGTATTCCATTAACACTTTTATTTTTTCCTGAGGCTAGTTGATAAACCTTAGGTGAGAAGAAACAGGTAACAGATGAATGAAAGAAAACAGATAAAGACAGAATTTATTTTTTCTAAGAAAATTTCAATGTAAGTTCTATGTGAAGCTGTCCAAATGTTCTTGCCTTTTTTCTTTATTCATGAATCAACTGTGTTTTACACGAGGGGTTGGTGAGCTTTTTCTAGGCGGGGCCAGATAGTGAATAGTTGCGGCCTTATGGGCCCTAAGGTCTTGGTCACAACTGATGAACTCTGCCATTGAAACTCAAAAGCAGCCACATACACTGTGAATAACGGGGCCTGAACATGCCAGTACCTCTTTAGAGTCTCGTTTGACCCAAGGGCCACAGTTTGCTCACCCCTGTCTTAGGCTATAAGTTTGTTCCATGTTTCATCAACTGTCGAATGGGACTAATAAGCAGGACCTGCCTCATAGGGTTATTATGAGAATTGGGTAAGATAAGGTATAAAAAGCTCTGCAGCTGTGCCTGGCACATAGTAATCAATTAGTAAATGGAAACTACACTCATCACTATTGCCAGCCTTCTCCTAAGTTTGCTAGCTGAGAGTGATCACTGTGTATACTATGTTTTACCTAAAGTCTTTCACAAAAATAATCAGATTAGGCTGGATGCGGTGGCTCACGCCTGTAATCCCGGCACTTTGGGAGGCCAAGGTGGGCAGATCACCTGAGGTCAGGAGTTCAAGACCAGCCTGGGCAACATGGTGAAAGCCCATCTCTACTAAAAATACAAAAATTGGCTGGGCATGGTGGTGCATGCCTGTAATCCCAGCTACTTGGGAGGCTGAGACAGTAGAATTGCTTGAACCTGGGAGGCGGAGGCTGCAGTGAGCCAAGATCAAACCGCTGCACTCCAGCCTGGATGGCAGAACAAGACTCCATCTTAAAAAAAGAAAAAAAAAAAACAAAATCAGATTAGCCAATTCACTAGAGCAGAAATTTAATTAGAGGAAAAAAACAAAAAAAAACCTTAATGGGTGATTTTACCATTATTATTTTGATTATTTCTAATGAACCCACTGGAAATCTGAGGTGGAAATTAGGGGAAGGAGAGGCGCAGAAGGGGGTGGGTATTGGAAAGAAGGGTGCCTGGGGAGGAAGAGTCCCAAATGAAGAGGGAGGGATCCATGCAGGAAGAGATAGATGCTCCCCTGTTCCAGAAGTCACTAGAATGCTTTACATCATTTACCCTGTTCTCCTAGAAAACTTTCAATTGTTTCATATCAGAGATTAGTTGGTTGAAGCCTCTTCATCTATTTTGGCTATGAGACCACAGCTGTTTCTCCAGATCACAACTTTATCAGAGTGGCTAGACCACTTTTATCCAGTTCTTTTCTTAATGGAAAGTAAACAGTTATTGTCAAGCCTGCAGTAACTCTACCCAATAAAAGACTGTCATATGGGTATTCTTTTAAAACACAAAATATCAATTCCTTTAAAATCTGTTTTCCTTGATCTAGTTCTAACCTATTTGTATAATGTTGTAAATGAGTTATCTAATGTTCTCCATTTTTCAAATGCAGAATTTTAAATTAAGAAAAAGGCTGCTTGTTGACAGCCTATAAAACTTTTACCCTGACTAAAAGACAGACTGTTTTTTTAGTTGGCTCTTTATTTATATATTTTGAATAAGGGTCTCACTCTATCACCCAGGCTGGAGTGCAGTGGCATGATCATGGCTCACTGCAACCTTGACCTCCTGGGCTCATGCAATCCTCCTGCCTCAGCCTCCCATGTATCTAGGACTACAGGTGCACACCACCACACCTTACTAAGTTGCTTTTTTTTTTTTTTCTAATTTTTGTAGAGACAGGATCTCAATATGTTGTCCAGGCTGGTCTCAAACTGCCAGCCTCAAGAGACCCCTTTGCCTCAGCCTCCCAAAATGGTGGACTTACAGGTGTGAGCCACTGCGCCCAACCTTAGCTGGCTCTTTCCAAGCAAAAATAATTTCTGGGGGAAAAGAAGCTCGTCTAATTGAAGTCACTTTTAATTTCTACAGTAGCGTGATTTCTGACTTTGTACACTCTGCTTTATTGAATCTCCTCTCAGCTTAATTACCCCCATTAGTAGTACATTTTATCTACATGCTGTATAGATACATAATCCTTACCACTCAAGTTTCTATTTCATTTTTAGGACTTGCGAACAGCAACATTTTTGTGAAAGATCATTGATCTATATACATTGAGTTAAAAAACATGAGCAGGAATGATGATTTGACATTTCAACACAGTCCCAAATATCAGAGCAGCTTATTTCGAAGAAGAGATCCTCCTGACCGCAGTTGAACAATAGGATTCCCAGATGTTGGTTACACATGTAAAGAGTATGGTATGCCTTTCTTTCCCAGATGTGGAGACATTGTATTAAAATAATCTCACGTATTTAGATATTCTTTCCTATGCCGTTTAGGAATTCAGAAATGAATTCCTAATGCTTTCTGAAAGTTGAACCCCAAAATGTGGTGGTTCTTATTCCTGTTGCTCTTCATTCTTCCCCAGAGCCTTCTCTCTCAACCCCTGTCCCCTCCCCAGCTGTGGCTCTTCCATCCTCTGCTCCTAGTCATTTACTGTTGTACACTTGACATTTTAGAGAAAGAGGTAAGATCTTGACTGTGAACCGTAGTCAAAGGAACAATGGAGCTGTTATTTCTATTTTATATATGCCTCTAATAGCATTCACAGATAAATGAGATGATAAATAGGAAAGCAAGTTTTAAAAGTTAAATTTCCGATGATACAATTTGTGGAGAGATAGAAATCCATCATTGGAAAGCAGAAAATCAGGGTCTCTTTAATGTTTAATGGGACCTTCGATTGACTGGGCAGGGACTGTCATGGGTAGGCTGGTTTCTTTAATCTTTCTAAATGATCTGTAAAAGAGCCTTTGAGAACCTCCTAAGATTTGGCCTCAGATATAGTTCATGGCCTGTTGTAACCTGTTAGTAAAGTTTTAAAATAGTTCATCATGTTAATGCTGTGTAATTAGAAGTTACATTTCTACTACAAAATGGCATCTTTGACCTCTGAGAGATACTAAATTAAGCCATATTTGGTGATATTGAGGACACGTGTATTTAGTGAAAAAACTGGCTGAATTGTTCATTATAACATGATTTTATCTTTTTCTA